CAAATAAGCAAGTGGATGTCACATATTATAATAATTACCCCTTCATGTCATTCTGATAACCAGCCAATGTTTGAAAATAACTACAAAGTGTGGTTCAGCTTGTCAACATATAAGTTCATTATTAGATGGTGACATTACGTGGTGGTGATAACATGATGTCACCGTTACAACCAATATTTATTCCAAAATTAGGTTCCTTGATTAAATACAAGTAGTATTATTGTAAAATTTTTAGAATTTCTCACAAAAATTTTATCCCCTTAGAGTTTGACCTGATTTTTTTTATNCCAGCCAATGTTTGAAAATAACTACAAAGTGTGGTTCAGCTTGTCAACATATAAGTTCATTATTAGATGGTGACATTACGTGGTGGTGATAACATGATGTCACCGTTACAACCAATATTTATTCCAAAATTAGGTTCCTTGATTAAATACAAGTAGTATTATTGTAAAATTTTTAGAATTTCTCACAAAAAATTTATCCCCTTAGAGTTCGACCTGATTTTTTTTATTNATGGTGACATTACGTGGTGGTGATAACATGATGTCACCGTTACAACCAATATTTATTCCAAAATTAGGTTCCTTGATTAAATACAAGTAGTATTATTGTAAAATTTTTAGAATTTCTCACAAAAATTTTATCCCCTTAGAGTTTGACCTGATTTTTTTTATTTTTTTTACCCAATGTTTATGATATACGAAAAATATGAGTTATCACCAAATAAAATATGTTTATCTTATGTCTAACTTATTGTCTATCAATTAATAGTTATAATAAAGATTAAATTTGAGATCACTTCAAATTTAGGATAGGTTTTTGCTTAATTATTTTTTTAAATCGTACAAAATGACTATAGAATAGAATAAATAGAAGTATATCACTATTTGAACCNAATTTGAGATCACTTCAAATTTAGGATAGGTTTTTGCTTAATTATTTTTTTAAATCATACAAAATGACTATAGAATAGAATAAATAGAAGTATATCACTATTTGAAACTAATTGTAATCATAATTGTCAAGCTAAATTTTCCTTGTTAATTCACGTACTCCAATACTATTTTTTTTGAACAATATTTCAATTACATTTAGCTTACACAAATGTTCACTTTTACATTTTATCAACAAATTTATTTTATTTGTTTCTCTAAATTTTTATTCTCTTTCTCTTTATATTCAATAGATAACTAGTTTAATTACATTTAATTGAGGATTCGACTTTTATTAATTAAAATTTAATGTATAAAATTTGAATTCAAAAATTTAGGTTGCGTTAGATAACTGTAAGTTTCTACTTTTTTCTTGTTTTTTTTTTTTTCAAATTTTGGGACAAATGAAAATAAAAATATGTTTGGTCTTGGTTGATCCGTTTTGAAAACATAAAAAAAAAAAAAACAAACAGAAGATAGAGTCTCAGTTAATGAAATCTCGACTTTGAACCTCATTAACAACAAAAAATCTTTATGTTTTCCTCACCATATAACAAGCCAAAATGAAAGAAGCTCTCCTCCATCTTTTCTCTTCTTTGCAAATTCCAACCGAAGGCTCTGCCTCTTTGTCAAAGAACTCAGGCAAGCTATCTAACTTCGGGGGTGGTGGGTTTCAGGGGTGGGGGGATGGTGGGTTTCATAGTGGGTTTTCGGAGGTGGGGTTGGGGTGGATTGGGGGTGGGGGGTTTTCTGGGTGGATTTTCGGGGTTTGGCGGTGGATTTTTCTCGGGGAGGGGTGTTTGGGGGTGATGAGTTTTAGGTGGTTTGAGAATGGTGGATTTCAAGGGTTTAGGGGTGGTGGATTTTGGGGGTGCGGGTGGGGGTGGATTTTTAGTATAATATTAAACATATTTTTTATTTTTATTTTCACAAATTTTTAAATATAAATAATTACCAAACATATTTTTATTATTTTAATTTTTATCATANTTAGGGGTGGTGGATTTTGGGGGTGCGGGTGGGGGTGGATTTTTGGTATAATATTAAACATATTTTTTTTTTTATTTTCAGAAATTTTTAAATATAAATAATTACCAAACATATTTTATTATTTTAATTTTTATCATAGAAAAAATAAAATTTTATTTTAAAAAAAAACATAAAAATGAAAACGTAATCAAACGCACCAGTAATTGATATTTTTGAATCTTAGACAACTAAAACAAAAAGATTGAATAAACATATTTAATTTTTTTAATAATTATTTATTATTATTTATACTACTAAAAAAATAAATATTAAAACTAATTTAATATTTTTGTGAAAATTAGAAGTGAGTTGCCCTAGATATACTTGTTTGTAGATAAGTCATCCAAAGAAACCTATAAGAAGTTAAGTCCGTGTTTAAAATTATATATTATGACTTAAGTCCACTTTTTTTTTTATCTCAAAAATACCCTCCTTTGAACGAATGTTAAATTAATTTTTTATTTTGGATATAGTTATCCCTTAATTCAATGTCAATTAAAACATACAAATAAAATCTCCATCATAAATTTTAAATTTAAATTCAGAGCTCCCTCTCTCTCTCTCTCGCTCTAACATCATCTACATTTCTGTACGTCTCTTTCACATTTTTGAATCTGTCACACGAGCAAATTATCTCTCTTTTCCTGGAGAATGGATAATCATTTCAAAGATTCCTCATATACTTTTAAACAACAACAATTTTAGCGCTCTGTCTCTGTCGACTACGATCAACGAGCCTATTTGGTGCCCTACAGATACACACACACACTCTCTCTCTCTCTCTCTCTCTCTCTCTCTCTCTCTCTCTTTCTCTTCACTTTATATCGACAATTTTCAAGTTCAAAGGGGAAGGAAAAATTACTATTCATTCGGCCAGCTAGTGGCATTATTTCATCAATGTTCATCTTTTAATTTTCTATAAATTATGTCAATTTTGTGGGTAACGGATGAAAATCTCTGATCCTTGTTAATTTTTTGTGTTTTTGTAATTTGTGGTATTTTTCGTGGGGATTAATTTGTTAAATTGAATGTTTCATATTCCTATTTTTTTATTATATTACTGTTCATGTTACTGCTTTTGTTGACTATGTTATTTTTCATGTTACTATTATTTTTAGTATGTTATTGTTTTTGTTGAGTATTTTACTACTATTATTTTCCTATATATTAATATTCAATATTACTATTTTTTTTTTATTTTTGAATATTAATATTTTTTGTATTTGAATAGTACTATTTTTTGCCTTTAAATTTGAGCGAAATAATTATTGTTAAGTATGTTATAGTTTTTGTTAATCATGTTACTATTTTTGTTGAACATATTAATATTTTTTTTAAACATGTTAATATTGTTAATTTTTAAAAATATTAATATTGAATGTTTCAATTTTTTTATGTTTAAATGTTATTATTTTTTTTGTGTTTAAATGTATTATTTTTTGTATTCAAATGATAACTTTTTTTTTGTATTTGAATATTACTATTTTTTATTTTTAATGTTACTATATATATAAATACTAGTTATGTCTTGTGCCTGAAGGCACAGAGTAATAAAAAATGATAAACAATAAATATATTTGTATTCATCCAAAATCAAATTACAAACATAAAGAAGAGATAAATGAATTTAAATATCGATTTGTAGTGGGGAGCAAAGGTGGTGGACGACAATGGTGGTAGTAGGAGACGGTGATGGTTGTGGTGGGTGGCAGTGACAGTGGTAGCGACGGTGGTGGCGATGACTTTGATGGTGACGATAGTAGTGGTGGTAGCGGCGACGGCGGTGGTAGTGGTGGCGGTGGTGGTGGCAGTTGTGGCCATGGCGATGACGGTGGTGGTGGCAGTGGCGACGGTAGTGGTGGTAGAGGTAATGATGGGGGTGGGGGTGGAGGTGGTAAAGATAGTGGTGAAGCGGTTTTAAACACTATTTTTTTTAAAAGTATTTATAAAAACACACCTTATGGGTCTATCTTCCCTATTGAATTTAGGGTATTAACATTAACCGTTAGATTAAGTTTGAAGTAAAATTTAAAATGATCTNGTGGCGACGGTAGTGGTGGTAGAGGTAATGATGGGGGTGGGGGTGGAGGTGGTAAAAATAGTGGTGAAGCGGTTTCAAACACTATTTTTTTTAAAAGTATTTATAAAAACACACCTTATGGGTCTATCTTCCCTATTGAATTTAGGGTATTAACATTAATCGTTAGATTAAGTTTGAAGTAAAATTTAAAACGATTTCAACCGCGAATAGTAAAAGTTATTTTGTTTATCTTTTGAAATTTGAATTATAAGCTACTTTATTATATAGATAGATAGATATAAGAGAGAAAAAATTTTAATATTTGTAAAATTCTTAATTTATATATGAATATAAATAGATATGAGAGAGAAAATATTTTTTTTGATAAATTTAAATCCAAACAAGTCCATATATAAGGGACTGACTTTTAAATTTTCGTAATATTTTTTACTTTGGACCCCACCTATGTTGTGCCGCCCTTATTTCAGTCAATCCNATTATAAGCTACTTTATTATATAGATAGATAGATATAAGAGAGAAAAAATTTTAATGTTTGTAAAATTCTTAATCTATATATGAATATAAATAGATATGAGAAAGAAAATATTTTTTTTAATAAATTTAAATCCAAGTCCATATATAAGGGACTGACTTTTAAATTTTCGTAATATTTTTTACCTTAGACCCCACCTATGTTGGGCCGCCCTTATTTCAGTCAATACNTATAAGGGACTGACTTTTAAATTTTCGTAATATTTTTTACTTTGGACCCCACCTATGTTGTGCCGCCCTTATTTCAGTCAATCCAGAGAGGAAGACAGAAGATATCATAAGGAACTACAGGTAATGTTTATATTTGTGAGATGTATATATGCCAGATGGCAAGTGTTTGGCATAGGAGGATCAATTCCTCCAACCACTCAGGTGTCCTAGTTCTTTCTCTCCCTCGCCATCAAATCAAAATCCATTTGATTTTTGAACTTTCTCAAAGCGTACCGTCCCAGAAACCTGCCCTCAACATTCTCCACTCTCTTCTCTCTCCTCTCTTTTCCTTTTCCCGTTGGGCCCCTTCTGCCTGCAAACACAGCACAAAACTCACTTGACTCAGGGTCACACCATTAAATCTTCCTCCCCACTAGCAACAAACACCATCAAACCCAACTCCACATCGGGGTCTCTCTCTCTCTCTCGGATTTTTATTATCCTCTTTCTGGGTCATTTTCTGAGATGGCTGATACTCTAGACGGCGCAGGGTTTTGGCTTCCCCCTGATTTCCTTACAGACCATGACCTACTCATGGACAAAGAAAACTTCGCCAAAAATGGCCTCAACACTGATCTAAGCTGGAATCCCTTCTTCCCTAGTGAGTTTCCGTACGATTTGGGCTATGCAGGCTCCTTTGGTTCGTCCTCTGTTCGTACCTCGCCTGTTGAGTCCGTGGTAAGCTCACCCGAGACACTTAGCGACGAGGAAGACTTGTTCACTGTGTTGACTCGCCAGTTAGCTCGCTCGACCCTCCGGGATGTTCGTGAAATCACTTCAAGAACTCAAAATCTCGAGGTATTTTTTCTGATTTCTTGGTTTCTGAACTGTTAATTTTATGAAAATAAGTACTGATTTGGTTCTTGTTTTGACTCAGAAGAGTTGGGTCTTGTCTGGTTCTCCTCAATCGACACTGAGTGGACTTGGATGTTGGTCCAGCAATGGAAGCCCTGACGGACCTTCTAAGGGGTCCTCTCCTCCAACGACGCCATTGGGTGCGAACAACGACGCTTGGGATCTCATATTCCAAGCTGCTGGGCAAGTCTCAAGGTTAAAGATGAACTCCGATGGGTCTACCAAAGGCAGAGGCCTCCTAAACCCACCGAGTTCTCTTACTCTGGTCCACCCTTCACCGCTTGTGAAACCCCCCAACTCTGGGTTATTTAATAACCAGTGTCTATATCATGCTCTCGCACAGGCCAACCATGTAAGAAATTTTTCACCATGTTTGAATTGTTTGAAACTACTAATCTATTGCAGTTTTTGATTTATTTGAGGGTGTTTTTGCAATGTTCAGCAAGTGAGCCAGGACCAACTGTTGAAGCTACAGGGCTCTGCTGTTTTGGGTAGAGGGCCAAAAGAAGAGTGGTTCTCGCAGAATCAACTCTCTCAAAACAGAGGCTCGAGGATCGGTTTTGGTGGAGGCGGATTTGTCCAAAGTGGGAGGTGTGGAAAGCCACTGGGGTCGGTTCAATCTCCATGGCCTCCTTCGCAATTTCAACACCAAATCCAACCACTACAGAATAGTGGGTCAGGGATGAAAACGGTTTTTTTTGGTGGATCTGGTGGCGGTGGTAGCGGTGGCGGTGGAAAAAGGGTGTGCGCTGGCACTGGTGTGTTTCTGCCTCGCAGATATGGGAATCCTTCTGAGACCCCTCGAAAGAAGCCAGGTATTTTTTGAATTTTGAAAGCTGTGTGGACTCTTCCATTTCCATATTCTTATGAATTTTTCTGGCTTTGTTTTTGTCTTTTTATCTTCTTTGTTTGTCCGTTCTGAGTTCACTCACCTATGTATTTGAGAAACCAGAGAGAGAGACAGAGGAAATGGTTCTTGAATTCTTTACCCATTTTATGATTATTGCTGTTTTTGCTTCACACTGAAGACTCCTCAACCAACGTCATTAGTCCAGTTCAGTGGTGGACCTGGTGGCGTGTGTTTCGTCCTGGGTCCCAGATTTATACTCAAATACGAGTTCGATTTACTTTGCTTTTCTGATCTTAATTTTTCCCGAGAGCCAAACAGACTCTTATATTCTGATGGGATGTCCTCAATTTGCAGCGACGCTTTTTTCTTTTGACCAAGTGGGCTAATCCAGTTCACAAATCCACTGCAATCCTGCTCTTTTTCTTTTCCTTTTTCGCAGAAAACCCTGTTTTTGGCTTAAAAATCTTCTTTCCTAGATGAAGCTGGGGACACAGCATATCTGGCTTTGCTTTTTAAATCTTATGCTGGAATTAGAAACCATCTTCTTTGAATTGCATATGCATAAAGTGGGTGTCTGATTTAGATCTTTGACATGCTCAGTTGCCTACACTTGTGGGTATATATATGACCAGGTTGTTCAACTGCTCTACTTCCAGCTGGAGTTGTTCAGGCTCTGAACAAGAACTTCGACGACATGACTGTTCATACCCAACATCATCAATCTCATCCCCGCTTCAATAGCGCCTCCATCCCCGACTATGGTAACTTACTTGTCATATAAAGTCCCATTTTAGCAAGTTTTTCATATGTTTTAAGTTCTTGGTTCTGAGATTTGTAGATCAATTTGCAGATTTGTTGATGGCTCGGAGAACCGCAGTAGTGGAACCACAGAGGCGAAGTATACGGCTGGAAGGAGCAATGAATCATGAAATACGGCTACCTCAAGAATGGACCTATTGAAAATGGCTAGTTTTTTAGTGTGATTTGCATCTCCTGATATGTTGTTTTGTCGGGAGATAGCAAGCAAGATAGAAGGTAGACAAGTAGTGATAGGAGAATGGTAATGGTTTTTTAGGCAAAGAAATTAAATTTGAAGTACAAGGCGTTTAGCTGAAGAAAAAATAAGTATGCAGCAGGTCTTTTTGGGNAAAGAAATTAAATTTGAAGTACAAGGCGTTTAGCTGAAGAAAAAATAAGTATGCAGGTCTTTTTGAGNATGGTAATGGTTTTTTAGGCAAAGAAATTAAATTTGAAGTACAAGGCGTTTAGCTGAAGAAAAAATAAGTATGCAGCAGGTCTTTTTGGGGTGTAGATTCCATCTCTTGTGGCCTACCTTTTGATGCAAATTGAAGGAAATAGTATTATTAGTTGAAAGTAGTTAGTGTGGGGAGGTGTGCTTTTGGGATGGTTGATAAAATAAGTGGGGTAGTAGGGTGTAAGAGAGGGTACTGTCTTAGTTGGGGCTTGGTTGTGTAGGATAATGGCATATGGTTTTGCCTGCCTATGGTGAAGAGAAATCCACAATCCTCTTCATGTAATATTCCATAGTTACTAAGTTTGTAATAAGAAGGGATATTTTTTTTTTGTTTACTTTAATAGTCTCGTAGTATGATTGGTTTGTTCAAAATGACTGTTTATCTCTATTAAAGTCGGATGAGCACATCTTCAACTTTTACCTCTTTTTAAACTTAAACTTAAATATGTTGCAGCTGCTCGAACTATTGGGACCTTTGTCTTTATTTCGAACNCGTAGTATGATTGGTTTGTTCAAAATGACTGTTTATCTCTATTAAAGTCGGATGAGAACATCTTCAACTTTTACCTCTTTTTAAACTTAAATATGTTGCAGCTGCTCGAACTATTGGGACCTTTGTCTTTATTTCGAGCATGGCCTTCGTCTTATTATTGTTTTCAATTTCAAAAATTTGAGAGGGAAGAATGAAATATAAGAGCATTTAGCATTAAGATGGAAATTTTTAAAAAAGATTAAGGTGCAGATAAATTAAGTCAAGTTTTTCAATTAAGCTTGAACTCAAATTGGAGTAAAGGGAATCTAACTAGATTATTATAATAGACGATCACCAAAGTTTAATGTAAATTCTAAAACTTGTCCTTTCAATTTTTAGATGAAAAGTTCGGTCATTATTTTGATAAATCANATGGAAATTTTTAAAAAAGATTAAGGTGCAGATAAATTAAGTCAAGTTTTTCAATTGAGCTTGAACTCAAATTGGAGTAAAGGGAATCTAACTAGATTATTATAATAGACGATCACCCAAAGTTTAATGTAAATTCTAAAACTTGTCCTTTCAATTTTTAGATGAAAAGTTCGGTCATTATTTCGATAAATTANCTAAAACTTGTCCTTTCAATTTTTAGATGAAAAGTTCGGTCATTATTTTGATAAATCATCCCATTGGGTGGTTAAACTATAGATAGTGTAAACATGAAGAAAGTGACGTGTACAAAAGAATGTCGAAACAACCTAATTAATGTGTAGAATAGGTAATTCATGAATGATTTGAGTAGATTGATAAGAAATCATAACCGGCAAGCATGTTGCTCATATGTATTGACTTGTATAGTGTTTATGTGCTTTTGGTGATTAGGGTATGGTTAAAAAAGTTTTGATATAATACCTTTAAAATTTATTATTTTAAAAAATATTTATATAATTTTTGTAGGTTATTTTTTTGTGGTTTATTTATTATTTTTATAAATATTTGTATCATTTTTCTTCGNGTGCTTTTGGTGATTAGGGTATGGTTAAAAAAGTTTTGATATAATACCTTTAAAATCTATTATTTTAAAAAATATTTATATAATTTTTGTAGGTTATTTTTTTGTGGTTTATTTATCATTTTTATAAATATTTGTATCATTTTTCTTCGATACAAAAAAATTATTATTTTTATGGGTCTTTTTTTGATTATTCAAAATATTTTTATTACTGTTGTGGTAATTATTATTATAACTTTTTTAAACATCACACCAGTGATAAAATTATTTATAATCATAATAAACATACTTAGAAATATAATAAATTTTGATATGATGCCGAAATTTTATATATCGATATCATAGTCAAGTCCATTCAAATTTAAGTCAAATAAAATCAGTCAGTACTGTTAAATAGAGTAAAATATGATCATTAAATTCTTTAAAAAAAATAAATTTAATTATTTAAGATTTGAATTTTTTTAATTTAAGTAAAAATTGAAGTGGTTACCATGCAAAACTTACTGATACCTACTTCAAAATGTATTAATTAATTAATTAATTTTTTTTTTTTGTAAAATAACAAAAGTAATTAAATTATTAAAGTAGAAAGTTGTTAAAGAAAAAGTTAGTGGGGGCAGGCAGAGGAGGAGGTGGAGGGGGTTAGCTTCGGCGTGAAGGAGTGGTGGTGGGGTATGGGATTGGGATGGACGTCTTGCTTTGCCGTACAGTGTTCAGGAGATGTTGGGGCCCATATTGTGACGTCATTGGTGTTTTGAAACAGTTCCCACCGTTTTCAAAGCAAAGTGTGTGGGAGACATTACCTGCCCACATACAAATATTCTACGTAACGAGGAGCATAACGGAGACGCGAGAGATATCGATAGTTATTGAATTAATTTGTTTGAGAAGTAATGAATTTTAGAAAGAGAAAAAATTTAATATAAATAATTTTAAGAGAAATATTGATAGTCGTTTGATTAATCTATTTAAGTCTGTTGAATAAATTTATTGAAACATGTCTTATTTTATACCACATTGCACTGTGATTTCAGGAATGAGTTACCTTTAGTTTTAGATAAAACATATTAGATTTAAATAAGTCTATTTGACAGTTTTAAATATACTCATTCAACAGTCATCACCTTATTTCAAAATTATTCACATTTCACCGTGCCTGAAAGTACGAGTTATCTTTAATATAATTTATAAATTCATATGTGATAGACTAAAAAAAAATTATTTGGGGTGTATATTATCATGGTTGTAAATTTCAATATTTTTAAAATTTTCTATAACCATCAAACAAAAGAACAAGATAATTTTTTTTTGTAATTAATCCTTTTTAAACTAATTTCTTTTGTTAGGAGATTTAAATTAGTTTGACAGAAATATTGTGGTGTGGGCTGCTTAAATAAAAGTCGTACATCTTGTTTAAGGATCCAAGGCAATTTGGCAGAGACATCTTTTAGAATCGAGTGGCATCATGAACACTCAGGGCGGAGTCAGACAACTCTTTTAGTATATAATTATTTCACTTGACACTATTTTCACTAAAACATTGATTCATTAAAAAAATGTCAATAAAGGCACAACCTTCATAAATGAGAAATATTAAAAAAAAAAAAAATTCGGTCTGGCAAAAACTTTTTATCAATAGTTGATTACAAATTTAATTTCTTTGGTCAGACACAACTTAGTATGCATTATTCATGCAAAATACATCAAAACAATTTAGAAAAATTTAATCTACCATAAGTTAATTAAATCAATCTAGGGTCAAATTTTTTTAACTAAATCAATCTTAGATATAGGAATAACTTAATTCATTACAATCAAATTTACTCGAGCCTAATCAATCGAAATGATTTAATCAAAAAAATAATTATAACACATAAATTTCAAATATAAAAATCAAATTATTTGAAAACCCTAATCACTAGCCCAAAAATTAAAACATATAATAATGATTGAATTCAAAGATAACGTTCATGATTTACCTTCCGACAAGTCAATAGTGAAAGAATCTTTTAACCTCTTATCGTTTGAAACTATTTTCTCAATAAATTTTGATAAAAACAATTGAAGTGAAAAAATAGAGAGGTACCACTAAAGAGGGAGTAAAAAACTAAGAAGAACAAATTTTCAGTGTAGAGTTAGAACAGAGAGAGAGCATAAGGATCCATGGACGTCGAATAGAGAGAGATCACAAAGGAGACAGAGTTTTGGCCGGAACAAAGGAAATAGGAACTGTGCCCTGATGAAGAAATTTTTTTACTTTTCCTAACGTTTAAAAGAACCCCACATGTTTGAAAATATACATTACTATCCTAAAATTTAAAAGTTTTTCAGTGGGGGCAATTTTTAACAAATTCCAAAATTTCAACTACACCCCAATATGTTTTCAAATTCGAGTGGAGGAAGCTGCCCCCACTGCAAATCCACGCTGTGAATACCCCTTAATTAATTATAGCATGTATAATTGATCATAATATAATAGAATCGATCATATCTTTTTGTAATTATAACTTTTGAAAAAAAGGGAAAAGACACGTGCTTAGAATACCCAGCTCAATAAATCGGACCAGTAGCTAACAATCCCTCAGTCTTTGAAAGTTGGTAGAGTCCTAGCCTATAAAAACTTTGGATAGTTCAATTCAAGTAACACTTCTATTTAGTCAGCAGTCTGGGTTAAGCAAGTGGGACACTACTGACTAACTTCAAATAGGCGGAGTAAAATCTGTTAACGGCAAACCAAATGGCCTATGAGAAGGGAACCCCTGAAGGGAATGGAGGTAACTGCTAAGTGAATCAAACGCCAACACAAGCTCTCTCATTACTCAACCATTTTTTTCTAGACTTTATAATCAGAGGGTTGATCCTTGGAGCCCCCCTTCCGGTCTCCGACTTGTCTTTGCATGTACCATGAGGACGGATTCAGCTCTTAACAATGTCTGGAGCTTGGTGAACTTTTTAACCATCATCAACTTTTATTTCAAAAAATTATAAAATATGACTTCTCTAAAAAAAAAAATTTGGTGAATTAAATAAAAACTCTCAGACTTAAATCTTTATTCTCTTAAATAGAGGGCAGACTTTTCGGGATTTAGATTCTCTTCATTATCTCTTTCTTTCAATTCCTTTTAATACAGTGTTATATGTGGGACATATATAAAATTTAAATTTCAATAGATAAAATGTTTCCTAATTCATTTTGTTGTTGGTGGAGTGTTAACCATAATCGAGGAATTTTTTCTTTGGCAAAAAATTTTGACTATTAAAATTTAAAATTTTACACATGTCACTCATCTAATATTGTTTTTGAGGGAATTGAAGGGAAGGAATAATGGAGGAAATCTGGATTTGGCTTTTCGTTGACAGTTATGGCAAACTAGAAATTGATAAACTCATCAATAAATAAGTTAAATATACAACCTCTAAGGGTAGTTTAAGTGGTAAGAGGAATGAATTATAAATTCAAACATCCTGAATTTAAATTTTGGCAATTCCTTAAATCTCTCATGAATACATTTGTTCAGATGTGAATGACATGCATTTAACCGAATTAAAAAGAGGATTAGTCAAGATGTGTGTAAACTAATCTAGACACTTTTAACTGTTGAACCAAAAAAGAGTTAAATATACACCGCCTTGTCCTGTCTTAAAGAAGAAAATAAGAAGGATATAAGACTGGTATTTAGGAAGAAGAAAATACGATGGATATAAGACTGATATTTAGGGTTGTTAATCAAATTGAGTTTTTCGAACTTGGTTTGAGTTCGATTCATTAAGACTCGATTTGTTTTCTGAACAAGCCCGAGTTTGAATAAGTTTTTAATTTCGTTTAAAAAACAAGTCTAACAAATTCGGCTCAAACTCG